CGGGTCAGGGTCCGCCCGAGGGAGAAGGGCGGGCCGGCGGGCGCCCCGCAGCCGGAAGGGGCTTGCCTCGCAAGTAGGCCGGCCTCCGGCCCGGCTCACCTTCAGGTCGTTCTCGGGAAGGTACTTGCACTGCCGCGCTATCTCCACATACTTGTCCAGATCTAGCGGCGCCATTTTAGGGAGAACGAGCCACAGCGGCGGTAGCTAAAATACCGGAGGTAGCGGCGGAGGCCGAAGCCGAACCCTTCTTACGTCACGTCCGACCCGTGAGTGGCGTCTGCGCAGCGTCCTCAAAACCTGACTCGCTCCTCTCAGGCCGAACTCCGGGTCTCTCAGAGAATCCTGCTGGGACCCGTAGCTATGTGCCGCAGGGAGTGCTGGGACTTGTAGTTTTAGTAAAACCAAATGCTCTTCCTGTCCTACTCTTCAAAGCTTTTCCCTGGGAAGATTACGAAGTGGGTAGCTAGGTTTTCTCTAGTGTTATGCCCAAATCCAAAAAGTCCCCGCAAAAGCCAACAAGGAGACCGAGTCCCTTATGTAAAAACAAAGAGCCTTTATTTTATGCAAGTTTGTAAACTCGGTCTCTCCGCCTGTCCAGAGTATTGGAAGAAACGGAGAGCCCCGAACTCGGTTAGAATTGGGTTTTTATAGTAGTAAAGGTGGGAGTGAGGGGTTTCTGAGGTTTAGGACCCCTGAATGGCTGACATTTGTCTAGGGGTGTCCTGGTGAGTGTATGTTAGCAGGTGATCCTATCTATAGCTGTTGGAATGTTAGGCATTTCCTTTGGATGGTCTGTTCTTGGGTGGTGCTCAGGTAATCTGTTTGTGGTTCTTCCTGCAGCCAGGTATTGCTTCAGGGTAAACTACTGAGACTCAGGCCTCCAGTTAAATTTGTCTAGCCGAGTCCTTCTCTGGCAGGTGATAATGGTTGGGAGTAAAGAACTTCCTTTGGATGACCTGCTCGCTCATACCTAGCTCTCATTTCTACCCTGTAAAGCACCCTGTCAGCATCTTCAGTTACAGTTAGGATAACTGTTGCCGACTTTCCAGTGAAGACCTGGCCTAGACGTGTGAAACAGATTTTAAATCCCCAATTCTCCGGCTTGGAAGAAAAGAAATAAATATTAAAGCATTTCTTAAGCTAAATTCTATACAAATACAGGTTTGTTTGTTTGTTTTTTTCCTGTTCAATTCTGATAGGAATACAAAGCTTCCACTTATTACTTGCAAAGTGATCAAAGTTATTTGAGTTTTCTTTTGCTTTGGTTGGTTGGTTTTGTTTAAGCCTTCTCTTTAGCCCCTTTGACTCCCATTTTAAAAACAGAACTCAAACATTCCTACAAGAATTTAGGAATGCGATTTCTATTCTAAAGGGATTAGTACCTACAAGGTAAACTATCCGATATTCCAGTTTTTCTTGTTAATATACCTCTCTAGCATGGCATCTTGAGGTAATCCTAGTCAAAAGACCCAGGGCCCAGCAAAGCAGTCTGGAGCTCTCAGCAGTAATTGCTGTCTAAACACAAGTCAAGTACGTGGCAGAGCCAACCTGGCCTTGGTCCTCTTTCCAGAAGGAAAACAAGTGAGTGTATCCCTCTAAACTCTTCTTCGGAAGCCATCGGGAGAGTTTTTATTATTTACAGGAAGTCATACAGAGTCCAGGTGTGGGAAACATATTGTTAGGAATTTTTTTCTAATGCGAGCTCTCTGCTGAAGCAAAAATCTCAATCAAGCCAAATTAAAAATATCCAGGTTTAATGGAATTCCTGCGCCCTCGGGTGGCCCTGAGGGGGAACCGGGAGAAGGCTAACACTAACAGGTCCACCAGGAGGAAGGAAAAGGGACCTTACCGTAAAGCAGTTTAAGTAGACTGGGGGGGGGTAGTGGTCAAAATTTTGGCGGGCTCCTCTTGACACTCTTCCGGGGAGGGGTCAAGGCTTGGCGGGCACAGGGACAAGGCCTTCAAAAATGGAGGCCAGAGACCAGGACTTGGGACTTACACATATGGCAAAGCCAGCAGCCTGGGCTACATAAAGATACACTCTTTGATTCAGAATTGTAAGTTTCATTTTGAAGTGTTAGGGCATTAGTGGCACATGCCTTTAGTCAAGCACTCAGGAGGCAGAGGCAGGCAGATGTCTGAGTTCTAGGCCAGCCTGGTCTACAGAGTGAGTTCCAGGATAGCCAGGGCTACGCAGAGAAATATATGGCAAAATAGTGAAGAGAGCTGCAACCCCCAAATTCCGCTTTGTCCATAAGTGTTGGTTATATTTTCAAGTAGCTAAATGAGGTACTAAATTGGTGGCAGGAGGATCAGGAACTCAAGGTCATACTTAACTACACAGTGAGTTGGGGACCAGCCTGGGCTACATGAGATCTTGTCTCAAAATTAAAACCCAAGTTTTCTTTTCACTCGAATTAGTAGATTCTCCCATTCTACACGTGAGTAAACCAGAGTTCCTAGAGGGGAACGGACTTGGCAGTTGTCAGAGTTCCCTGGTAGGTGCTGGAGTCTGTGTCTGAGGTCACATTTGTCTGCCCTTTACCAGTAAGTGCAGTAGCTTTGCTGTTTCTAGCCTGAGTTCCGACAGTAGTTAGTGAGCATGACAGTGTGGTATTCTGATCACACATAGGCACAGGTCAGCCACATTTATTTTGGGAAAGACACAGAGCACTTGTTGCTAGGACATAGGTCAGAGCTTATGCAGATGAAGTTGTCGACAGCGGGGTTTCATTTATAGGCAGAATTATCATGGCCTTTACAGAGAAACCAGCTCTGAGCCTCCAAAGATACCTGACCACAATCCCTATAGAAATCTTAGGATTTCTGTTGCAGAGAGAAGACACCCAAAGTATTAATTAATAACTTCACCCGAGATCATACGGTCTCAGTCTCAGTGAACTTTTTATTCCTCACTCTTCACAAGGACCTAGTAGTCATTTGTGTTTACTCTCTTGGCTCAGCCTGTGAGCTGTGGAAGACCCAAGGCCTGTGGTCTGGAACATGCTGTAACCACACACGACCATTACGGAGATGAACCGCTTTAAGCGCCACAGCTTGAACCAGCCTCAAGCTTGCACAGGTAAAACCTGGCATTGTAGAGCCTGCCCCTCACTCAGGAGGCTGCAGCCGAATTCAAGGTCTTCCTGACTTACGTAATGAGTTCCAGGCCATCTCTCCCCTTCAGAAGTCACTACTAAAGACCGCTGTGACAAACTCCGTTAGCCCTTTAAGGGTTGAACAAGAAATTGGAGTAATCGAACGCCAGTCTAGTTTGGAGTCGGGCTGTCGGCTGGACACCGGGGAGACTAGAGCGGTTGGTCTGGGTGCACTTCCGGGGACTGGGGAAGGGGGCGGGCTCGTAAGCCCCGCCCTATGGGTGGAGCTACGTACAGGACGAGCAAGGGCTGCGGCAGGTAATTGGTGTTGGGCTGGAGGTCTCTGGGCGGAGCCATCTGGAGGAGAGCAGATTTCTTTCCTCACGGAAGTGTGCCTGAGCTTGGTGGAAGCAACAGTGTCCCTCCTCTCCCGACGGCAAATTAGCGGAAAGCAGGTTACCATTTCTCCCTCACTCTGACTTCTTTAACGCTGAGATGTGGCTGAGAGAGATGTAAAGGAGGTGGCTTGGGAAGTCCCCGCCCATGCGGAGCCTGTCCCTCTGAGCTCTGACCTTGTGGTCAGTGACTGAGGCCGCGGGTGGACCTCACCGGTGCATCTCTCCTTTAACTCCTGGTTTTCATTCATTTGTCCCTACTTCTACTTCCTGCGGGCACATTGGTAAGTTATCAGAATGAATCAGAAGGCTAGACATGCTAAGATTTTAGAATCTAGGCTAGATACTTTTCTGTTACTGTTGTTTAAGAGTCTCACTGTGTGGCCCAGGCTGGCCTCTGTCAGTCCACTGCTTCAAGCCTCCCAAGTGCCAGGTAGTGCACTACCGTGCTGGCTGACTACAGACTTTTAAATAGATTAGATAATTATATTCAAGGGTGTGAGGGTATAGTTCAGTTGACAGAGTGCCTGCCTACCGAGAACACAGCTCTGGCACGTTTATCCTCAGCATGGCATAAAACCAGGCATGGTGGTATTTGCTTGTAATCACAGTTTTTGAGAGGTGGAGGCAAGAGCATTAGAATTTCAAGGTCATTCTTGCTACGTGATGAGTCAAGGCTAGCCTAGGCTATATGACTCTGAATAAGTATATAAGTTTTTTTTAAGCTAATTATGCTTAGAATGATCCCTGTAATACTGATGGCAAAATAGAGACTGCCATAAAGGGAATCCAAACCCAAGTCCTGCTAGCTAAGCCTCTCTGCCAAGTGTGTGTGTGCATTGTTAATCCCTGAGTCTCTCCCCTGAGAGGGTGAAAAGGGAAAGTTTCTTTAAGGAACTTTTGAAATGGGCTTTATTTTTTAATTTCTCTCTCTCTCTCTCTCTCTCTCTCTCTCTCTCTCTCTCTCTTCAAGACAGGGTTTCTTTGGCTGTCCTAGAACTATGTAGACCAGGCTGGCCTGAAATTTACAGAGACCCACCTGCCTCTGCCTCCCAAGTACTGGGATTAAAGCCATGTGCCACCACCATCCAGCTTTTTGAATTTGTTTTCTTTTAGGGGGATGAGGATCTTTATTTTTTATTTGCTCCTTTTTCTGGGAATTGAACCCAAGGCCTTGACCGTGCTAAACAGGCACCCAGCTACAGAGCTACGGCAGCTCTTGGAGAGCAACTGTAAATATTGACTAGAAGTGTGCACATTTATGAGAAGGGAGGATGGGGAGACAGTATTACCACAAAACACATGTCCCTTTGCTTAGATCGAGTGGTCAGAAGCACATGGTAGGAAAGGGCTTGATTGCTAGAGGACCAGCAGGAATCCCAGTATTGGACGTGGGGCCCATAAAGAAGATACAGATCACTCCAGGACAGTCAGAGCCCCTCAGTAAAGCCCTGTCTCAAAACAGCCACAAACTATGGACCAGATGCTTGCTCTTCTATAGCATGCTGAGACCAAGATTTATCTCAAAATTCAGTATTACTCAGCTACTCAGCTACTTCAACTGTTTTATCATATACATATATATAATTTTATATTTATTTATTTATTTATTTTGAGACAGGGTTTTTCTGTGTAGCCCTGGCTGTCTTGAAACTCACTATGTAGACCAGGCTGGCACTGTATTCACAGAGATCCTCTTGCCTGTGCTTTACCAGTGCTGATATTAAACCACTGTTGCTGGGCAGTGGTGGTGCACGCCTTTAATCCCAGTACTTGGGAGGCAGAGGCAGGAGGATCTCTGTGAGTTTGAGGCCAGCCTGGTCTACAAGAGCGAGTTCCAGGACAAGCTCCAAAGCCACA